GCAGGGTAAGGCTGGATCCCAGAGTCAAGGACTGGAGAGGCCTAGCAGATCACCGGTCCAGATAACACCAGAGGGGAACATCACAGAGAGATACCCCAGGTTGGTGGGACAGAGGGCTCAGCAGTCGCAGGGGACCCCATCTGTGGGCGCTCTTCCCTTGCAGTCACTCCCTGTCCTAATGCCCCAGCATGGCACTACAGGGTGGGAAGGAGATGGAGGTGCCATAGCTGCTGTCTATGGATAAGTCCTATCCCCTCTTAATTATTATTGTTGTAGCACCAAGGAGAAACACCTCATGGTGAAGAACCCCAATGTGCTAGGTGCTGCACAAACACTGAACAAGATGGTTTCCAATAACACTCCCTCCTTCCTCCCGCCCTCGACTCTATGCAGTTTGCCCAGGACACTGGCCATAAACTCAGGTATATCCCCAGACCTGCTGACCTGATTCTGTTGTCCTAAGTTCCTCCATCCCGGCTGCTTCCATGAGATCTAGCATCTGCTTTTGCCCTTCCATTCATCTGTGCAACTGATTGCAAACTGCTGTGTTCCACCCTAGAGCTGGCTGCATCTCAGCCTCGAGCAAGCGATTACCGGGTGACATCTCAGTGCACCTGTCGGCCCAGCTACCTGACCCCAGAGTTGGCTGCATTTCAGCACCAGTCGTGTGATCTCCTGGCAGTATTGCTTGAATGCCCACCATTCCCCAACCTGAGCTCTCCCCGCAACCTGGGGGCTGGGAGCTGCAGGGCCCCATATGGGTGAGCTGTGTGCAAGGTCATCCCGGATGCCTGGGTCCCATCCCCAGCTTGGCATCTCACCCCTGAAACCACAATTCTTTGCACCTTGTAACTACCCAATTACCCATTATCCATTGCAGCAGAGTCTCCCTCCTGTAAACTCCCCAAAGTCCTTTACTTCAAATTACCCACCATGCTTTGCACTGAAGTCCTGTATTACTAAGTCACCCATGATCCCGTGCAAGGCAGTCCTGCTCTAGAGAATTACCCACAGTCCTTTGCAATAAGGTCTTGAGATCCTAAATTAATCTTGGAGGTGGGAGGGGGCGAGTGCTCCAGAATCCTCTAGGATTTGGAAACTTGAATGGTCATCCTGGATGCCTGGGTCTCATTCCCCATCTCAGTCTCTCCCTGACAGGGACTGAGAGCTGCAGCACCACAAAGGGGTGAGCGCCCTGTGCTGCTGACACGGATACCTGGGTCCTATTCCCCATCCCCCTCACTACCTCCCCACACACCTTTCTTCTTCCTGTTGTAGAGATAGATGAGAACCAGCAGCAGAACTAGACCCACGGCAGCACCAGCGCACCCAGCCACCAGGGGGATGGGCAGAGACGAGATAGCTAAGAGATGGAGAAAAAGGGGAGTTGTTAATAACCAGGAATCATAGGGACAGGAGAACAGTGAATAGGAATCTGCTACCTCCACTATACCCCAGCCAGGGCAGAGAACTATGGGTGCCCTCCCCATTAAGGGAAGATTTTCTACCTGCCAGATGCTTTCAGTATCAGCCATGGTGAAATGCTGCCACCTGTGGGTTAACCAGGGATACTGCAATGGGGGGCATGGGTCTTCTTATTGTCCCCTTTAAAGTTTGTAGCCAAGGTCTCTCTTTGAAGGTATCAGGGGGCTGCTGGTATGACCCTGCGGTGGCTTTATTTTGGGGGGATGTAAGGGGCATTTGGGGGCCTCACCCTTCATGGTGATGTTCACAGGCCAGCTCCTGGAGGATGGGACTCACCTCCCATTCACATTCTCCTCATATCTATACTGTATGATGGGCACTAGGGGCTGCAGAGGGTGAGGGAATGGGAGAGGAAGGGGCAGCTATACTGTTTAAAGGGCACTAGGAGGCAGCAGAAGGTGGAGGCAGGGGATGGGAGGCTCTACTGCATAATGGGCAGTGGGGGCAGCAGAGGGTGGGGTTGGGGAAGACGTGGCTATACTGTATAACGGGCACTAGGGACAGCATGAGGAATGGAGGTTGAGTTAGGCAGCCATTCATTACACGGCTGCATAATGTCAACTATTGTTGTCCATCAAAAGACAGCTGTGTGTGTGTGTGTTTCCCTGTTCTCCCCACTGCAGGACTACGGAGTGTACCTTTGATGGAATTTGTCGGTTTAGGGGCAGCCTCACCCTTCATGGTGACGTTCACAGCCTGACTCCTGGGGGCCGGGATCCACCACCCGCTCACGTTCTCCTCATAGCCGCAAGTGAATTCCCCTGTGGTCGCAGGACCAGCCCGTGGGAAAGTGAGCATCATAGAGTCAGTGCTGGCCTCCCTTGTGCTGATCTCAGACCCCATGTCCCCGGGGATAATCTCGGCTCCGTCCTTGTAGAAATGAAATCTCCACTCGCTGGCATCTCCGGGGGCCTTGCAGGTGATGACTAATGGGACCCCCTTGATAACCACCCCAGATGGGGGATCCACACTCATCAAAGGCAAGGGCAGGGGATCTGAGGGGAGGAGAAAGTTGAATGGGTCAGCAGGAGATCCAGACTGGGGAAACTGGTAAAAGGTCCACTATACTGTATAATGGGCACTAGGGGGCAGCAGAGAGTGGGGGTGGGGAAAGGGCGGCTATTCTGTACAA